AGATTATAGCGGAAACCCCTTCCTAAACAAGAAACAAGGCGTAAGCGTCTACTCATGTCCAAGAGAAGGGGGAAGAGTGTTGACCGGGCGGTAGGAAAGCCTACCTACTCCTATTACATATAACACATACAGCAACAAAAACAGAGGGAACGACGAGAGGGGGAAGTAATTTCCAAAGAGTCCTGGCTGACACTTGCATTTACCCTTTCGCAACATTAAGTTAAGTTTTAACTTAGTATAAGTCCCATTGTCTATTCTAAAAAGAAATTGAAGAAAATAAGGTTATCCGGATTTATTGCACTGTCATAATAAATGCCCCACCATCAATTTGAAAACAATAAAACACGATTCCGTCGCCAGAATGAAAGGGGGACAACTCATATCGAGTTATACTTATTATAAAACCCAGGTTGTGTGTGTGTGTGTGTGTGTGTGTGTGTGTGTGTGTGTGTGTGTGTGTGTGTGTGTGTTCGTTTATATATGGGATCGGATTTCCTACATTTTTCAACCGATTTCAACAAAACTATAAACGTATAAACGGATGAGGTAATCAGTGCATATTATGAGGACATATAGGATACACTAGACTTGAAGAGATTAAGAATGTAGTAGTCAGGGAAGTATTCTCTTAGGGGTCTGTTTTTCAATACTATTATTTAACCAATACAATGCTCAAGAGCCCCTCAAAGTAGAGGTTAATGAATAAGGTTGTTGTAAGGGCGTAAAGGGAAGAAGGGCATATTTTGAGGATATATAAGATAGATAACGGTTGACCATAAAGGGAAGAGGTTAAGATTGTAGTTTTCGGGGAAGCACTCTCTCGGGAGTCTGTTCTGAAAAGTCACAGTTCTGGGGGAGAAGTTGATTGAGTGGAACTTCCTCCTTGCCAAGGGAATACAAAATGAATGTGGATGAGTTGGCACAGTGTACGTGGTGTGGCGGGTGCAAACTGTGACAATCTGAACTGGTAGAATTAAGGAATGCAGATCGTTTGAACTGTTCTCATTAAAATATGAACAATCAATGTAGCAGTTCTTGGGAAAAGGAAAACGGATGTATGGAGATGATCCTTTAGTAATGTCTTTTTTTTTCTTTCTTTTTTTTTACAATGATGTTCACCCTGTACAAGTCCGAAGAGCCACTCGAGGCAGAGACACAGTTTATGGGAATATGTGAGGAAGATAACAGTTGACTTTAGACTTGAGCCGGTTGAGATTGTCGTGATCGAGGAAACATCAGCTGTCCGTGGGAAGAAGCTGCTCGAGTAGAACTTACATCTCACTAATGGAACGTGGTTGGTTTACTAAAATGTACTTGGCATGGTGGATCTTAACTGTGAAAGTTAAAAATGTTGTTCGTCTAAACACTTTCCATGGAAATAGCGACAGAACAACGAGAGACTAGCGACGTTTCGTCAGTGGGGAAAGGGGTTGTAGGGCAGAAAATAATTCATCACCCACAAGGACACAGAGACAGTTTTGGACTATTGAGGCTGGAAAGTGAAGAAAGTGCATCTCCTGCGACTATATGGTAGCAGTATTCCATTTTTGGGCTGATCTGGCTCTTGTTACGTTAGTTTGATAGCAGGAGTCAAGTACTTACTAGAACGGTTCAGGGAACCAACGATTTTCCCAACATCTTTAGCAATGGGGCGTATAGCGATATTCTAAGCGTAGCTTAGATGTAGTACAAGGTTGAAAGTATGGGGCACACAGTGAGAATCGAACTCAAAGTCATTGCTGATCTAGACTGACAGTCTTGCCAACCATTACACCATCAGTCAGTCAGTAGTTCACTACCGACTGTTCGGTTGAACTCTCTTCCTACGGACGGGAGGAACCCGAAGGAGACTCCGCCCTTCGGCGTAGCCTCCTTCGGGGAGATAGACCGGCCCTGAACCCGTTTATACGGGTTAAATGGGCATATTTTTGGCCGAGCCCACGGGCTCGGAATGCCCACGTTAAAAAGGCCTTGTGCCACATGACACCCTCGTGGGGGGGTGACTGAATATTATCTTGCCAACCATTACACTACGTCGAATTCATCTGGAAGTCCCGATAGAGCAACGACAGACTAGCGATGTTTCGTTTGTGGGGAAAGGGATTGTAGGGTAGAAAATAATTCATCACCCACAAGGACGCTTTTAGAGTCTATCCAGACTGGAAAGTGACAACTGGACAGCTCCTGTCCATATATGGCAGCAGTAGTCTATTTTCGACCTCTTGTAAAGCTAGAGAATTGCAGATTGGGGCAAGTACTTCTTGGAGTGGTACAGGGAATCGACCATTTTTCCTGCATTTTGACTGATGGGTCGTATATACGAGTTTCAGTTTATGACAGCCTAGATCTGACAATGCTATTTAAGAACATAACTAGAGTTCTTAGGTCAATCTTTTGGTTCTGTAGCATCTTGTGGTGTTGAGAGACACTACTCTTAGCGTTCTCAATTTCCTTATTCCCTATATTAATTTTGTTATAACTGATCCATACGCCAATGTATTTGAAGTTCTTCTTCTCCAAAACGTGGGTCATGGCTCTCTACAACCTCCAATCATTTGTATTTTTGAGAAACATTTGTCTCTTTGTCATTACCCACACCATTCTACTATCTATTCACACAAATTCATCAATAGATGGCTCACTGCCTTCCCAGGTCTTTTGCCTTCAATATGCCATGTAAGAGTTAAGTTCTCCAAACCCTCCCGGGTCCCAGAAATGTCAGTCTCTTTCTGGTTTTGAGTATATCCTTTTTATTTCCATTTTTCTTAAGACTTCTCCGTTGCTTATCCGTTCCATGGATGATATTCTCAGCATTCTTCTGGAAAACCACATTTCTGGTACTCCGAATCTCATATGTGAGGAGATTATCCTTCATTCACTGTAATAGTGATGATACGTAGCAGTTCCGCACGCTTTTCTTTGTCTCTGTTGGAATTTTCCTGATTCTTAGTAATTTGCTTAGCTTTTGGAAGACATTTTTCGCTATTCCAATGTGCCTTCGGAGTTTGGTTTCGCATTTTTATCCTCTCTTAAAACACTTAACAGAATTCCTGTTATGGTCCGGTTCCTTGTACCACGGTGATTGTCCAAGGTAGAACCAATAAAGAAGAACTCGAACACGGATATGGAATAACACAGATATATTACATACAGGAATATATACAGAGAAGTAGAAAGTGTTAGTATGAACAATCAGGTTTAGTAGTAATTGTCTGAACGCGACTCTGTTTGGGACTGCCTCTGACTCGACTGACTGAATCGCTCTGACTGACTGACAGACTCCTGACGGACTTCACTTCAGACTTCAGACTGAACACTATTAAGTCACCCCCCCACGAGGGCATCATGTGGCACAAAGCCGGTTTAACGTGGGATCTCCGAGCCCGTGGGCTCGGCCAAAAATATGCCCTTTGAACCCGTATAAACGGGTTCAGGGTCGGTTTACCTCCCCGAAAGAGACTCCGCCCTTCGGCGTAGCCTCGTTCGGGTTCCTCCCCGCCCGAAGGCAGAGAGTTCAACCGATCAGCCGGTCGCCCGAATTCAGACTGAACTCTCTGCTTCCTCTTGAGTCGCAGTATTTATTACGTATGGAATAGTCCATTATGTTATTATGTGTAAGGTCCCATAACAATTCCACACACTGAACTTTTGCGAGACCAAAATAGATACGGAAAACTAGTTACTGGACTGGCAAAATGTTCAGAACCAGAGATCCTCTGTTCATGAATCCTCAAAGAAATAAAATAAGAGTCCAAATATGCAATAAACTGTCTAGCATAATCATGTTCATTTGTAGGACCCTGTCACCTTAGTATAATAACTACTGGTGTATGAACAAGTAATGAAATAAACTGTCTAGCATAATCATGTTCATTTGTAGGACCCTGTCACCTTAGTATAATAACTACTGGCGTATGAACAAGTAATGAAATAAACTGTCTAGCATAATCATGTTCATTTGTAGGACCCTGTCACCTTAGTATAATAACTACTGGCGTATGAACAAGTAATGAAATAAACTGTCTAGCATAATCATGTTCATTTGTAGGACCCTGTCACCTTAGTATAATAACTACTGGCGTATGAACAAGTAATGAAATAAACTGTCTAGCATAATCATGTTCATTTGTAGGACCCTGTCACCTTAGTATAATAACTACTGGCGTATGAACAAGTAATGAAATAAACGGTCTAGCATAATCATGTTCATTTGTAGGACCCTGTCACCTTAGTATAATAACGACTGGCGTATGAACAAGTAATGAAATAAACTGTCGACCTACACATTCCAAATTATCTATTTGAACTCAACCACATGTAATTACAAAGTTCAACACATAAATTAAAACACATAGAAGTGGTCACAAAGTACCCGGAATGAACAATAACGAGTTTATAAGGTGTTATATAGGAATAAATGTCGACACTAGAGTTTGAACACAGATCACCAGGGAGCAAGCACAGACGGTCCCATTTTGAATAAGTAGATCACGTGATGTAAAGGAATTGTATATACGGGAATTAGCGTGGCGCTTAAAGGGATCAATATATCGGATTACTATTCGGATCACTTTTCGAGCGAGTATTATCGAGCAAGTACAATTAGTGTGAGTGTTATTCGAAGGCGTCTAACACCAGTATTGTTCAACGGCGTTACTATAGATGTATCTGCGATTACAAAGTCTCTACTACAACGAATATTACGAAAGTGATAAATGTTGACATTACAAAAGTGGCAATGCGTGTTCGTTGACATCACAAAATAAGGTTTCATTTTTTTTATTTAACAATCATATTTTTATATGGATGGGCTGGTAGCGTAAAATTTATCGAGTCAGAAAGTAAAATTGGTAAGCCGAGCTCAAGTTCCTGTCGAGGCTGTTGCCTTCATTTTAGCACAAATAACATTGGGTAAGACATGAATCCATCTCTTCTATCTTAATCCCCCTATCTATGGATTAAATAGCAGGTTACAACTGTCGCTGTAAAATTTATGCTTAAGGTCATATCAGGTTGAAACACCGGTTCTCGTACGATCACCTGCGTTAAGCAACGTCCAGCCTGTTCAGTACCTAGATGGGGGACCGCTTGGAAATACCAGGTTCTGTAAGCTTGAATATGCAGGTGGTGCAATGGATAGTAGGACGGAATTGTAAATCGAAGAGCCGAGTTTCAATTGCCGCCGGGCTCGTTATATTAACTTATGTGCAGATAACCTTGAGAAAATTATGAACCCAGTTCTTATCCTCCAGCTATGGGTTAATTAGTAGAACTTGTATCAGTATTATCTTTAAAAAAATCCTACAATCAAAAATATTTTTCGGTCTTAAATAGCCCGCAAATGGTTGATAAGCCGTAAAAAATACGAATCAATCAATTAATTCAAACTTGGGTTGCAGCTAATCTGGTTGGGGTACCCTGAATTTAAAACCTAATCTAGTTGGGGTACCCTGAATTTAAAACCTAATCTGGTTGGGGTAACCTGAATTTAAAACCTAATCTAGTTGGGGTACCCTGAATTTAAAACCTAATCTGGTTGGGGTATCCTGAATTTAAAACCTAATCTAGTTGGGGTACCCTGAATTTAAAACCTAATCTAGTTGGGGTACCCTGAATTTAAAACCTAATCTAGTTGGGGTATCCTGAATTTAAAACCTAATCTAGTTGGGGTACACTGAATTTAAAACCTAATCTAGTTGGGGTACCCTGAATTTAAAACCGAGGAGGAGGCAGCAGGAAACGATTTTTTTATTATTTTACAGGAAGACGTGGCAATTCACACGGAATAAAAAAGGGGTTTATGAGGCGCCACAATTGCCTACACACTGAAAGGAAAAGAAAAAAAAACATGAAGAGCAAAGAAAAAGAAAAAGATGTAAACATTCACGCGTAATTTTACATGCTTCTGTAAATTATCAGTTATCCCTCATTCTTATTGGAAAAAGAAACAAGGAAAAAAGAATTTTAAAAAATAGACATATATAGTTATAAGTGTTCACGCATTTATTCAACGTTGTAGGTTTCGACCCATTGCTTTAATTCCTCAAACATAAAGAAACAATACACAATGCTATTGACATTCTTCTATTTCCTAGCGTTTTTGTATTGGTAAAATATGAGATAAATTAAGAAATATATATTAAGATATATAAATTAAGAAATAGACAGATATATTTATAAATTTTCACACATTTTCACAGAGTTGTAGTCTTAAAGACGTCGTTTCAATTCCTCGGATATAAAGAAACAATACACAATGCCACTCCCAGTTCTTATATTTCTTTGTTTTTTTTTTATTATATATTAATAAAATATAAGATAAATTAAAATTATATAAATAGACATAAAATAATAACTGCGAATGTCAGTGTGTCACACTGTCACACTTTACAACTTTATTCCTATAGACCATAACCCAACACATCATACCATTTTGGAATCAGGCCAAATCCATAAGCAAATTAAAAACATTCTGGGCCGGATCTGGCCTCGCAATCCTGAAATTTAGGATTTCTAAGTTTTCATTACTGCGATTGCTTTCGGATATTTTTTATTACGTTTTTTTTTTTTTTTGTATGATAACAAGTTTTATAACTTGGAAATAAATTTGGGAATAATCGTAATTAATTACGAAATCCATCGAAAGTCACCCATGAAATGAAAATAATTGTTTGTACAGAAAGTAAGGACCAACATACGTCTTTAAATTAAGTAGCGGAAGAAGAATTATCATTGAACTTTTAAAAGGCAAGCTTAAACATTAATGCAATACTGAAATGCAGCGATCAAATTTGAGTTCATCTGTACTTTATTGTTGCCTATCGTATCTATTTCTCCTGACCAATTCGGATGAAGGCCCAATCAAGAGCCCTCTACAGGAGCTAGCTTAAATGTCACCCGATAGATTGGCTTTTAAGCTAGTGTATTTATAAGTTTTCACGCATTTTTATCAAAGTTGTAGGCTTAGAGCCGTCACTTCAATTCCTCGAACATAAAGAGACAATTTCGAATGGCCCTCACACTCTTCTCTTTCCTTGCTTTTTCCCTCGCCTTCATGCTTCTCCCTCCCTTCTCTTCGCCCACGTGACATATTCTCATTCGAGAATAAACGCATCCTTTCTCATACTCCTTTATTCCTCCAATAATTCTCCCATAATGCAACTGACTTTCAGCTTATAATTTCCCCACTTCCTGTGGTTTTCAGTCTTCCTCATTCTAGAGTGGTCCCTTGGCAGGAAATAAAGTAGCTTCTCATGCATCTTTTCGCCCTTTTCTTCCTATTTCCCCCTTTTTTCACACTACGCTTCTTCTTCGTAGGCGATTGTGTCTCTCCACACTTTCCTCTCCCTGGTAACTCTAAATCAATTCTGTCTGTTAGTTATTTCTAAACCCTGCTCTACCATCCATTTTCTTACGCTCGTCAAATAGGTTACGCGTTGTTTCCCTCTATCCTACTTACTCTCTATCTGTCTTGTGAGTATCAGATTTTCCAAGCCCTCCTTCCTCATTATCTGCCTCAGAAATCTCAACTGTTTCTTTCTGAAGTATAAGATATCTTTTTGTTTCCATTTTCTCTAAGACATCGTCGTTGCTCAAAAGTTGGATCTATGGTATCCTCAGCATCCTTCTGTTTCTTTTTCATCTATGAGGAAATTGTCCAGCAAACACTGCCATACAGGAGGACAGATATCACGTAACATTTTAGTATTCTTTTCCTTGTTTCTAGCGCTGTTTTTCTATTTTTAGTATACTGCTTAGCTTTTGAAATGTTTCCTTGGCCATCTCGCCTTCGGATTTTAGTGTCATATTTAAGTTTACCAAGATCCACTATGCTACCAGTTAACACGGATTCACAAGAAGTTCTACCGAAACATGAGCTCTCTGCTTTCCTCGACATCTTTGCAAAGAGAAGAATCTATCCTGGGAGTGGGCAAAATACGGTCTGCGAGTGATTTGCTGCCCACTTGATGATTTTACAAGGCCCGCAAAGATACAATAATGATTATTGGTTTAATATGCATTAATATATTTTGATATATTTTTTTAATTACATCTGTAAATTAGTAATCTATTCATAATAGGAATAAACATTACAAAAGATGAAAACTACAGTACTCAGGAAACTTCATACAAAATCAACATATCGCGTTATCTACTATGGATCGTAACGTCCCATACTTTGCCGAGGTCAATCCTCGGTAAAGATATAGGGATCTAGGTGCCTGTATGTAGATAGGATGTCATTTCTGTGCGAGAATTTCTTATTATTTCAAAATATTTTTCTCGAGTGTATAAATCTCATTCTTCTTTTATGGACCGAGTTCCTTCAGGGGGTAGGTGATCATAGCTCTCCACAATTTCCTGTCCTTTGTAGCTCTTTGTTTGATTAATTTGTTTAATGGCATATCAACTCTTTACGTTTAATTTTCTTGGGAGCTTTGAAGTCATTAAAATATATATTATTCTGCTTTCACAGGTGAACACATGGTAATTGATATTCATCTTTTGTTCACATAAATATTTATGTGAACATAACTACTAGAGGAAGTAATGTGTCTGTTTTATGTTGTAGCTTTGTTGAAGCTATATTTTGGAATACAGTTTGATTTCTTTAAGAAATCGTCGGATATTATATGGATTAATGTTATAAAAGAGTTCTTCGATGTTGATTGATGCATTGTTAGGAATTTTGCTATAAATAGGTATTGTTGGTAATTTTTTATATGGTATTTTTACTATAAAAAGTATTTTAATACTTTTATTATGTTTTTATTTGGTGGTTTACTATAACCGATGCTACCACCTCTAGTCAGGGTGAACCTGGGAGCAACTACAATTAAGAGGTGGTTCTACGTTTCTCAAAACTTCCAATCTCCCGATCAGAGGCCTTGCTACCGGATGTAGTTTATCGTCATACCCAGGACTATTCTCTCCTAAAACCGATGGTACCACCTCTAGTCAGGGTGAACCTGGGAGCAATTACAGTTAAGAGGTGGTTCTACGTTTCTCAAAACTTCCAATCTCCCGATCAGAGGCCTTGCTCCCGGATGTAGTTTATCGTCATACCCAGGATTGTTCTCTCCTAAAACCTTTTTTTCCGCCATCCATTTAATCAAGCTCGCATGGTAGGTTATGCGTTGCTTCCCTCGGCCTATCTTGCCTTCAAACTGAGTATCAAATTCTCCAAGCCTTTTCCTCGTTATGTGCCCTATGAATTTCAACTGTCTCTTCCTGATGTTAAATGTAAGTGTTCTTTTTGTTTCCATTTTCTCTAAAACTTCCTCATTGCTCATATATTCGGTCTATCATAGTAGCAAATGTATTAAATGTTAAAATGATTTCTCAATATATTTGTGCAGTTTGTTCACAAAACGTAACAAGCAAATGTGAAACTCGATTTGTTCTTGTGATACGGCTCACTTTACACAAGACCAACAATGATGTGGTCCTTCATGAAAAAGATTTGCCCACCCCTAATATACATTCTTATTAAATAAGAATCTTGTTACCACCCAAAGATCATTGGTTCCCATGAAATAATGTTTTTTGTTATATACCGTACCTATGAATGGGTATGTTCTAATCCTCATAGATACATTGGACACTATTGTAAGTGGGAGTAATATGCTGTTTAAGTAGTCCGCCATTAGCAGTGGTTTACCAATTTCACGCCGCTGGCGAGTATTGTATTTTGTTGATGTTATAAAGATTACCATTTCATTTCCAACCTCCATTTTGGCTATTCCTCATTCAGTAATCCTTTCTAGGTTACAGCAATTTTTAATGTCCATAACCTAAAAAATAATCAGAACTTCATATAAAAAAAATATTTTATTTACTGTTAGTCTTTGGTGTAATAATAATGTTTAATCATCTAGGTTTTTTTCGTTTTGTTTTGTCTTTTGGACACATTCTTTTGAGAGAAGTGTGTTTTAGGAAAGCCAGTGTAAAAAGTTGCTACAGCTGTATATTCTTTCAGGCTCAGCGGTTAAAAACCACCAAAACTGTTGAGGATCCATTTCAAGTTTATGTAAAATTACTTTTTCGTATATTTCGGCCAATGAGAGACATGGTCTCAAGTCCTTGTAGAAACTTGAATATGACATTTTCT